CATGTCTTGTTTCTTTATCCCAAGGTTAAAAAAGCATTGAAATCTCTCAAAAGTAGCTACTATTTTTACGATAGTGACATTGAAATAATATGAATATTCATATGAACAGGTATTCAAAAAGTTTCATAGAAACATCCCATCAGACATCAGTCATTTTATTAGAGAAAGTGGATATAATTAGAGGGGCACTAATTATTAATTAACCCATAAAAAGGTTTTTGTCAAGCACAAAATAGATTAGATTTGGGCTGCGGTAACTGGAAGCACTTATGTCAATGTCAACTCTAAATTGAATAAGCTGAATTGTGTTTAGATCAGCGATTAGAAAAGTAGCTTATTGAGAAAGTAGCTTATAGAGAAGTGAAATTGGATAAAAGCTAAATTGAATAAGCTGAATTGTGTTTGGATTAGAGTTCAGAAAAGCTAGATTGTAAAAGTGAGATTGGTAAAAGGTTGTTTGGATTATGATTGAGTAAAAGTAAGTTTGGTTGTAAAATGACCAAAATAAATATGAGTTTTAATAAATAATCAAACATGATTAAAAAAATAATTTCACATAATACAATGAAATTAAAATAATTTAATATGAAGAAGTCATAAAAAATATTTTAAATATAAAGTGAAACATGAAAAAAATAAAAGTATATTTTTAGGAGCATATTTAAAAATAAAAATATATTTCTAACTTATTCATTACTTTCAACTAATTTTAATTGATTTTTTATTATCTACAAATTAGTTATTTGAGGCTTATAATAAGAACCAAAAGAGGTAATAAATTTCTTAACTTTCTCTCTCTCCATATTTCAAAAGCTATAAGCCATAAGCTATAAGTCATAAGCTGTTAATTTTAGCTTATCGCTTATTGTAGCTTTTTAGACAAAAGCCCGATTGCAGAAAAGTTGATCCAAACAGACCCAATTATGTCAATCGAGCTTATAGAGCTTATAAGCTACTTATAAGCTCAAAATAAGTGATGCAAACAGGCACTACATTAATCACTCCATCCGATTATAGATATAGAAATAGTTAATGAGCTTATTTTGATTATAAATATACTATTTTAGCTTACTTTATTATTTTTTTAAATTTATAAATTTTTTTAAAAATTATTCTTATTAATTATACATATTAAAAAAATATCTTAAAGGTGGGTAATTTTTATTGAAAATAATTAAAAATTTTAGATAAATCAATATATTTTTCAAAAATAACTAATTTAATTAATTTTTTTAATATCTGTTATCCCACTTTTAAATTTAAGATTGAAGAGGGTACAATATTTTGTGTGTGGCACTTTTAAATGTTATTTAATAATTTTTTTGCCAACAAACGTTATTTAATAATTAATTCAACGACCATAGCATAAAAATATTTAATACTAAAATTATATATCTGCACAGTGTGTTAAATAAATGTTCATGATTTAGCATGCAAACAACAAAAATAATGAGTGCAAGATGTTGGGATTGGCATTATAGAAAATTGGGGTCATCATCTTCTACATCTTTTTATTAATAAAATTAGAAATGCATTAAAAAGAGGGAATTTGGACAGGTGGAAGAGACAACCTGGGTGCAATTTCACGTTGGGACAGCGACTCGCACAAGCAAGCGGTTTGATTTGCCTGTGGTCTTTCATCATTTTTGTGGTCCCTCGGAGCACTAACCACTAATGCAAATATTTTTTTTAATATTAAATATTATTTTTCTTGTTATAAATATTTAGTTTGATATTAAATGGAATATAATTTAACTTTTTATTGTTAATTTAAAACCTAGTCGGTAGTTAGACTTGATTTTAAATATAATATATTTATCTATTTTGTCTGTTAAATTTATTTTTTTAAGATATCTATATTAATTTTAAAGAATTCTCACTAAGGGTTAGTACTTCAACTTATTTTATCTCTTAAATTTACAATTTTTAAAATATTTTTCATCAATAGAAATAGTTTTTAATACTAGTTTATTAACAATAATATTTTAGAGAAGGTGGCATATACACATCACTGTTGTCAAACTTGTGAGTTGACTCTTCGAATTTAACGTTTTTACGTTTTCAGCTAATAAAATCATGTCGACTCATTCATAAACTCGTGATAACTGTAAACTCGGTCAAACTTACGAGTTCATTTACTGAGTTTACCATTTTTACGTTTTTAGTTTACAAAATCATGTCAAATCACTCTTAAACTTGTGCTAAATTTTTGAATTTGATTATGTTTAGTGACTTTATATATAATTTTTATAGAAATTTTTTTGTTGAATGTGATAAATTATGAACATTGAGAGATATAATTTCAATTATTTAAAATTAAAATATATTTAAATGAAATTGTTCTCATTTTTTATATATTAATTATTTGATTATATACTTTTAATATCAGTTTATTAATAAAAATAAACTCTTACGAGTTCACGATCTGAGTTCACATCATTATCACGAGTTTGTTTAAACTCGCGAGTTTAACAACCTTGATACACATACTACAGATGGCTAACTTAATTTATTCACTATCTACAAATTAGTTATTTGGTTCAAATAAAACAAGAAAGGGTAATTTACTTATGAGAATTTGGTCCAATAAAAAAGGTTAGTCCTTTATAAAGTGAAGAATTAATGTTTGAATATCAAATAGAAAAGGTGCTCATATTTAGTGCTTAATAGTATGTGTTGAATTGTCTCTAATAAAAAATACATGTGTGTCAAAAAAACAAGAGAGAGTAATTCATAAATAATATAATGATCATCAACATAAAAAATTTATATTACTATCTCTAATCCTAAATATAAGTTATAAAATTGTGCTGCAAATTAGATTTTATATTCATTATAAACTAAACCTTATATTTAGGATAATAAATCAGTAGTAACATTATCTACATGAGGTGAACAATAAACTTGCAGGAATTAAAATCGTGAAAAATGTGGCTTAGAAGAAGGATTAAGAAACACTAAATAAGGTCAACCAAAAGAAAAAAGACAAAAAGGAGGAAGAAACATTGAACAAACAAGAGCCTTGCTATCCTCTGGCACGAAACATTGAAAATAAGAGATTGAGATTGAGATTGAGATTAAGATTGAGATTGAGAAAATAGTGTTTAGCATGAGAGATTGTTTATTATATGGGATTAGATAAACCTATCTATCTAGGATTGAGAAATACTATGGAGGAAAGTGGTATTTTTATTGGTTTGCCTAATCCCACATAACAAGCAATTACTCTTACTAAATATCTTTTTAATAATTTTTTTAATTGTATTTCTAATCCCTATCCCTTCTTTTTAATAATTCGTTCCAATAGCATATAAAAGTTTTTGGAGAATTTCTCTTCAACTTTGACACGCAAGTCAGTGTTGTCATGACATTTTAAAATGCACGGCGTCCACTTTTGGTTTATAGTGGGGTGGGGTGAAAGAGAGAACAAAAGTCAGAAGAGAAAACCACTCTTACCTATCAATAGAAAATTCAGAAGAAGAAAAAAAGAAAAGAAAAGAAAAATAGAGGTATCGATTCCATATAGTATTTTTTTCCCCCTTTAAAGATGTTCCCTAAAGTAAAACGATTTTAGAGAGGAAAATATGTTTTCAAAAATTGTGTCGGATCAAAGAAAAAGAGACATGAGATTCCATATTTATTAGATAAATATTATTCTTATTGTGAAATTAATTATATTATTCATTTTTCATGTATTTTTTATTCATCAAAAAAATATTATTATAAATAAGGCATTAATAGTGGATGACGCGTGCTTCACTCAACGATTACATACTACTACTACTATATATAGATGCAAAGAGAATATCAGAAATTAATTTTTTTTAGTATTAGTAAAAAAAAATAAATTATATTTTATCACTTTATTTTTTTATTAAAGTGTTATGGAATTTTATTGTCAATTTTGCATTGATGTATCCGTTGCTGGGATGCTGGTTATCTGATGTCTCGTGTCTCTTCCTCCTCCGCCTGGGTCACTTTCTGACTGTCGCTGATGGGGGCTCAGTGGCTGTGCCGCGGCACTAGTGGTCTTTTCGCTGTAATGGCCATGCGAATAGTGAATAGATAACATTTTCCTTGAATCTCTCTTCCTTCTTGTCTTCTCGTCTTCCTCTACTCTTTTCTACTCTGCTCTCTACCACAAATTATGCTTGCTGTTTCGTCTTCTTCTTCAACTTGGATTTCAAGTCCTGTTTTTGCTCGTTTGGTCTCCTAAGCCGAGCCTGAAGGTAAATTCATTGGCGGCAAAGAATATATTTGGAATTGGGAGAATATAATGATTTGAATTCAATTCATGTGCTCGGCTAATCTCTGCTCCGCGAATTGGTTTGTTTCGGGCTTCTGAGAAACCCCATGTTTGATCCCAAGCTTTTATCTTGTTTCAAAGACGGTGCTTGCTGAATTCCGTAACGCTGAACCTCCACGGAAGGATTCAGTTGTTCCTCTTGCAGCACCTATCGTTGCTTCCAGGAAGCTCTTCCCCCCCCCCCCCCCTGATTTTCGACATTATTGTTTGATTTCGCATTAATTGGACCGTCTTGTATAATGAGTTAATGAGCTGCATTTTGGTGACTTAATTGCAGCTAAAACGGTGTTATTATTACCATAGGCGACTTTTCTTACATGTTGCTCTGTGTGCATGGGACAAATATGCCACTTTCGAATGTAGTCATATCACTTTCCAATTTATCGAAACTACTTTTAGTGACCACCATTCATTCCGACACCCACCTTCGCCCCCCAGTAGACGGAAAAAGGCGTTAAAATTAATCTAAATTGCTAAAAATCTCAATCGCATCCCCTGTTCAGAAGTCCAGAGCCATTGACATTGTCTTCCAACCCATTCACTCGGTACTAATGAAATCATCATTAGAGAGCATGCATCCCACTCCAAATCCCACTGGGGTGGTGGTGGTGGTCCTCTCACTCGGGTTTTAGTGCTTTCCTTTCCTTGTTTCCATCTATCTTCTATTGAACACATTTAAAATCAGAATGATATTATTTGACACTTCAAATATTATTCCTTGAGTCGGTTTATCAAGTGACCCACCGTCCATCCATCATAGATTGCTTCCTTCAATTTTCTCCTTCAGTCTTTAGGTAACTCCTACCAAGTCATAGTGACAAGTGCTCGCTCGCCACTCCGCAAAGGGTTCTTTCATTTCTCTAGGGAATTTCACCTTTTCTTCCACTGCTCTGCCTATAGTCCCGTAAGTCCTTATTTCTTCTCATCATCATCGTAAAATCTCTTGAAAAAAATATCTTTTGTTACATGATTTCCATTTTTTATGGTGTTCATTCATTTTCAACCCCCCCCCAAAAAAAAAAACTTCCTCATTTGAAACAGTTTGCAAGTTTTGGTCTTTTCTCTTTATGCTGTATTTCTGTGTTTGTTCTTGTTTTTCATCCCTTTTAGTTCAAGTGGTTCTTTATTTGAGCCCTACTTGTTGGCATTTATTAGTTGAATATCTGTTTATTCTGTTACATGCTTTTCAAATTTCAATTATTAAGTTTCATTCACCTGTAGGAACTTCACCTATGAGTTCGGCATTCATCATAGTTATATATTTACTATGGCTTGCATCAACATTGACACTCGTAAGTGGAGCATCAAGAAAAGTAGCCTCAAACCCTGAGGTTGTGAATATTGGAGCTGTTTTCACATTTAAAACTATAAATGGACGAGTTTCTAAGATTGCCATCAAAGCTGCAGAGAAAGATGTGAATTCCGATCCACGTATCCTTGGTGGACGCAAATTGAACATAACCCTGCATGATTCCAACTTCAATGGTTTTCTTGGCTTCATTGGAGGTACTTCTATCATCTCATTCCTGTTTCATTACATAATAGTTAACACTCTCTCTGTCTCGTGTAGATTTGATGCATTTGGCATCATAGAAGTAATATTTAACTTCAATGTTATCATCTTGTTGGTTGGTTAAATTGTCATGACTCAGACTTTTTGTGCTTACAGCGCTCAAGTTCTTGGAGAGAGACTCGGTTGCTATCATTGGTCCACAAAGTTCAGTAATGGCCCCTGTGCTCTCGCATTTGGCAAATGAACTCCATGTTCCTCTTCTGTCATTTACAGCTCTGGATCCTACCCTGTCACCTCTGCAGTACCCTTATTTTCTGCAAACAGCTCCCAATGATCAATTCCAGATGACTGCAGTGGCAGACATGATTAGCTATTTTGGTTGGAGAGAGATTATTGCTGTTTATAGTGATGATGATCAAAGTCGAAATGGGATCACTGTATTGGGAGATAAACTTGCTGAAAGGCGGTGTAAGATATCTTACAAAGCAACACTGCCCCCTGATCCAACTGCTAGTCGAAATGATATTACTATTCAGTTGACCAAGGTTCGAAGTATGGAGTCCAGAGTGATTGTTCTTCACACCTTCTCCCTGACAGGTCTCTTGGTTTTTGATGTGGCTCAGAAATTAGGAATGATGAATGAAGGTTATGTCTGGATAGCATCTTCTTGGTTATCAACTGTTTTAGACTCAACTTCACCACTTTCTTTGAATACTTCTAACTCAATCCAAGGAGTTCTTACACTTCGCCCTCACACCCCGCAATCAAAAAGAAAACAGACCCTTATGTCCAGGTGGAACCAGATAAGTAATGGTTCAGTTGGGTTGAATCCATATGGCCTCTATGCTTATGATTCTGTTTGGATCATTGCTCTTGCGTTGAAATCATTTTTTGATCAGAATGGTAATCTTTCATTCTCTAACAACACAATTCTAAACAGTATGAGAGGGGAGACTCTGGATCTTGGTGCACTGAGCGTTTTTAATGGAGGGAAACAATTGCTTGATAACATACTGCGCATTAACATGACTGGATTGACAGGACCTATTCAATTTGGTTTAGATAGATCCCCCTTAAATCCATCATATGACATCCTCAACGTAATCAATAGTAGTTATAGGAAAATCGGGTACTGGTCTAATTATTCTGGGCTATCTGTTATTCCTCCAGAGAAACTTCACACTAAGCGAGCCAACCGATCAATTTTAAACCAACATCTGTCCAATATAACTTGGCCTGGTGGTACAACAGAAAAGCCTCGGGGATGGGTTTTTCCAAATAACGGAAGACAGCTAAGAATCGGCATCCCCAATCGAGTTAGTTATCAGAACATGGTCTCGCAAATAAATGGTACCAATAAAGTTCAAGGATACTGCATAGATGTCTTCCTGGCTGCCATTAAATTGCTACCATATGCAGTTCCATACAAGTTTGTTCTGTTTGGAGATGGACATGAGAACCCCAACTACTATGAACTTGTCAATAAGATTAATTCTGATGTAAGACTCAGAATCCATGATGCATTTTCTACACGTGACTAAAACTTCATTATATTAATCATGTTGCAGTTGCATTTACAGGTGTTTGATGCTGCTGTAGGTGACATTGCCATTGTCACTGACAGAACAAAGATTGCAGATTTCACTCAACCATATATAGAGTCAGGACTTGTTGTTGTTACCAAAGTAAAACAATTGAAGTCAAGTGCTTGGGCTTTCTTGCGACCTTTTACTCCATTAATGTGGGCTGTCACAGCTGTTTTCTTCCTCATTGTTGGAGCAGTTGTGTGGATTCTTGAACATAGAACAAACGATGAGTTCCGGGGGCCTCCTAGGAAACAAGTTGTTACAGTTCTTTGGTGAGAACCTTTCTTTTTTCCTTTTCCCCCCTAAAGATTTTTCCCAACCGACAGACCTAGAAAAACACATAGCTTTGGTTTATTCTATTGTCTTTGACATGCGAAAAACTATGGAATTGTTCAATATTTGTCCGATCCTTCATAAATCTACGAGCACAATTCATTGCTGGTTTGCCAAGCATGCTTGTTTTTCAAAAGCATTTCCTCTGCTGGTCATATGTTGCTAGTCTCTTGCTTTTTCTTTTGTTGTTTAGAAGGTATTCGGTTGATTTCTCTGCTGTATGTGAGTAGTGTTCTTGTAGCAATACAAATTATTTATTACAGAATTTAGTCATCTCATCTGATGATTATGCATTCCTAGTTTATGAACTGGATTCATGATACCAATCGGGCAGGGTATCCTACTTGTGTTGGAACCTGCCTCAAATTCAGTACATCTATTTCAGATGCTGTCAAATCAATCTAAACATCTTCTTTGATAGAATTGGCAGCTTGCATAAACCACGTAACATTACCTGTAATCTTCATTTGTTTTGGTTTTCAGGTTTAGCCTCTCTACCATGTTCTTTGCACACAGTAAGTCTGCCATCTGGTTGAATTCATATGATGATATGCCCTAGAGTATTTTTGACAGTAGAAATGAATTAACCTTGATTTTTGCTTCTTGTTTCAGGAGAGAACACAGTTAGTGCACTTGGTCGTATTGTGCTAATCATTTGGCTTTTTGTGGTCCTGGTAATCAATTCAAGTTATACTGCAAGCCTAACGTCAATTCTCACTGTGCAACAACTTTCCTCACCAATAACAGGAATTGATACATTGATAACCAGTAATGAACGTATAGGCTTTCAAGTAGGATCATTTGCTGAAAACTATCTTAGTCAGGAACTCAACATCCCGAAATATAGGCTTATTCCTCTTGGTTCACCAGAAGAATATGCTATTGCTCTCGAGAAGGGAACTGTCGCAGCTGTTGTTGATGAACGACCATATGTTGAACTCTTCATGGCAAATCACTGCAAATTCTCCATTAGAGGCCAAGAATTCACCAAAAGTGGATGGGGATTTGTGAGTATCTCTACCTAAAGTACTCTGCAAGTTACTTAGAAAGATGTCAATAAGTAGAACAGCCAAACCCTAAATGTTATGAAAAGAAAGAGAAAAGAATCCATGGTGAAATTTCCAACATGGTTAAGAGTGACGAGTTTTATTATTAGAATATTTATTAGACAATAGTTTGGAAGTGTTTTTACTCCCTCCGGTCCATAATATAAGATGTTGGTCAGAAGAAAATTGTACTCCAAAATATCAGGATAATTAATGTGATTTTTTCACTTTCATCCTTGTTAAATATAGGAGAGAGAGGAAAGAGATGGGAGATAATAAAAGTGTAATGTTAATGGCAACTTTATCATTTTTTTAGGGGTAAAGCAGGGAAACTTTATCATTTTATAACACATTTAATGACTAAACTTTCATTTCTTGGTATGTGAGAAAAGTTAACTAACTTCTTTTATTTGGACCGAAAAGAGTATAGTTCTTTCACTAGTCTTGTGAGTTTCATTAGATTTATTTCAGAAGGCCGCTCAATATCTCATGCGTTGTTGCAGGCGTTCCCAAGGGACTCTCCTTTATCCATTGATATGTCAACTGCCATTCTTACTCTGTCTGAAAATGGTGAACTCCAGAAGATTCATGAGAGGTGGCTCTCGACACGGGCCTGTGAGTTTAAGGGTACAGAGGAGGGATCTGAGCAACTTCAGTTACAAAGCTTTTGGGGCCTGTTCATGTTATGTGGGATAGTAAGTTTGGTAGCGCTTCTTGTCTATTTCATCTTGATGGTTCAACAATTCTGCCGTGACTTCCCCAAAAATGGCGAGCCCTCCAATGGTAGCAGCTCACGCTCTGTTCGCATCCAAACGTTTCTAAGTTTTGCTGATGAAAAAGAAGACATGTCACAAAGAAAGCTTAAAAGAAAACGCAAGGATTTTTCATAGAATGCTTATTAGAAAGAATAGTTATCAAACTCTACCCTCTTCGGGTCATGTGGGTCAAATATCGTTGTAGTTATATATCAGCTCTTATGCTTATCGATAGTTTTCTTTTGGTATCAGAATCTGGATAGAGAATTAGCATGTCTGGTAAGGACTTGTTTGGAAACACGTTTGTTAAAGGCAAAGTCAAAAACGTGTTTCCAAACATATAAGTTTGTTTGGATATTAAATTAACTTTTAACTTTTTACATTTGACGTATATGTGTTTGTTTGGAATGGCAGTAGCATCGTCCAAAAATAATTTCTTAATTTTGACTATATTAGAAAAATATATGAAAAGAGTTTTATTTTAAGCTCTGACAAGCCAAAAGCTGCAGCTTTTACTGAAACCCTGGAAAGTATTTTTGAAATAGATGCCAAAGGAAATGACGTCAAGCTTTCACGGAGAAATATAGGGTGGTTGTGGGAAAATGGCAACCCTATTTGGCTAAGGCAAATTCTTACATGGAAGACATCAGTGTTAATTATTATTAGCCAAGAATGCACCTTAATTTTTAAATTTTACATATAGTTTTTTTTTTGGTATCTTAGTTTTATAAAGTGTTTTTTATATCCTCTAATTCTAACACTATTAATCTCATTTACAAAATGTTGATATCGAAGTTTTAAATATTCACAAGACATTCACAAATGCTAATATATTAAGTTTAATTTTTTCAAAATAACAATGATTGATTAAAAAAAATCAGTTTTTGAGAATAATATATTTAAAAGATAACTTAGAAAACTAAGCTACCGAACTGAAATCTTATATGTTACTCCCTGGAGAGAAGGGGCAGGAGAAATTAGAGTTCTAAGTAGTTTTATCTATCTCCAGAGGAAAAGAAAGCTTGTTTGCAAATTGCAATCCCTTGTAAAATGTCCCTTTGGGAAAAAAAATCATCATGCTTCAAAACCATTTCTTTTAAACTTCAAGTTGCACTTTCTTTTAAAACAAGTCTTAATCTTTCGTGTATGGCTAACCAAACAAAAAATTAAACTCATAATAGTGTTCTTAAAATAATTATGAATATTTTTCCGTCGAAAATACTTACAATTATTAATATTTACAGAAACAAGTATTTAAAAAGTTTAATGTTTTTCATTACAAAAAGTGGAGCCATGGCATAAGAATTAACCCACAAAGAGGTTATTGTTTCGAACAGCAAAATAGATTTCCAACTGGCTTGTGATTTAGTTTTTTGAAAATAATTTTATGATGTATGAGATAAACATATACAATTTTTTTTATCTCAACTTGCTGAAATTAATTTTTTTTACTTGCTTCCAGGGTTTACCAAACTCTCCTGAATAAACTAAATTCGATCATTAATTATAACTCACAGGAACTTACTATTATATAAGTCATCTCCAACAGCTAAACACTTCATCAGAATTAAAATTAAAGAGATGTGATTACATCATTCAATTTGTTTGAAAATAAAAGAGTTTTCAAATTTAATCTTAGGTAAAATCATGAATTACATTTTGAGAAATGAACAAAAAATTATATTAAGCTTTAAATAAGGGAAACCTTAAAAGAATTTAATTAATACCCACATAATGACTTATAATACTGATTCTTTATAAAAGTATCTTATAATAGGAGCCGTAGTGGTATGTTAGCTGCTCTATGAATGGTCAAATTATATTATTATATGTAATTTTTATACAAGTATCTAAAATATAATACTTAGTTAGGTAATTCTTATAATACTTCTTCTAGTCATAAATATAAGACATATTTTATAATATAATTTATATTATAAAATATGTCTTATATTAAGAATCTAGTCGCGTATAATTTTTTCATCCATTAAATTTGAATTTGAATCCTTAATTTTATTTGAAGGAATCAAATCCCGGTTAGCATTTGTTATATGTGGATATTTTGAATGCAGCATTTATGTCAGAACTTCAGTACATATCCCCCTACTGATAGTACATATACTCTTTCACATAAAATCTAAGCTGATTAATTTGAAGTTCCGATTCAAAAAAAACCGATTAATTTAAAGAAATTAAAAAAGTTAAATAAATTATCTTAAAATATTTATATTTATCATTTTTTTCAAACTAGTTTGTTTTGTCTATAAATTGATATAGTAATATAATCTAATAATGCATATAAATTTTTTAAAAACGATTATGTAAAAATATGTTATAATTAAGTAATTTATTTAACTTTCTTAAACTTTTTAAATTAGTCAACTATATTTTATATAAAATAATTAAAATTGAGAAATTTCAAATTAATCATAATAACTAAATTGAAATTGTAAAATGTTGATAAATTTATGATGTTGCTTTTTATTTCTTTTAAAAAAAAATGAAGTGACCCTCATCTTTCGAGAGTATTATTTATTGGGAAAATAACACTCAAGTCCCACAAAAGAAAATATACTCTAAAACAGTCCCTTAAGATCTTATAATTAATCACAAGTCTCATAAGGACTTAATTGCAATAATAAGAATGTCAAAAAGACATTATTACCCAGCAATGTGGAAGGAGAGGCAATTCATATTTCCCGCACGATCTAAAATTGCTATGCATAGGAGAGAAGAGCTAAAGAAAGAAGGAAGCAGCGATTGGTGATGAAGTATCTTCCTTATCACCATTAGTGAACTCTAAAGAGCTTTCATTTTAATCTCTCTGGACTTTCAGGTTTGAAGCTTTCTTCCCCTCCTCTCCTGTAGCATTTTGCTTAACAGATTGTGTTTGAGTATGGGAATTCAAAAAATTGTATTTGTCTTTAAGTATTGCAAAGCTTTTAATTTTTGGTCTAATATGAATAAAAGGTTGTGTTTTTGTTTGTTGTGGGTTGGTGATTTAAGTTGAGGTTTCATTGTGAGTAGGTAGGATGATGATGCGTGCTCTGTTTTTTGTTACATTGTGGGGTGGTTTTACTATGTTTTAGAATGGTTTAGCGTGAAAGGCTAAAGAAGATGAAGGTTGGTGTGGGTAGAAATCTTTCCTACGAAATGGGATATTGTGTTATCAATATAGGCTGTGAAAGTTGTCAATAGATGCCACAATAGTTGTCAATAGTACTACTTCACCTGTCAATAACAGCTGGATGATTGTTGATGCAGGTTTACATTAACGATGGTTAGTATGTCTGGGAAGCATCACACTATCAAAACATACAAGAACCCAAATCTTAGCTGAGAACATATTGAAGTCAATATTTTTTGTGTATGGATGTGAAAGGAATATTTTGTAAATGGGTGTGAAGAGATTTTTTTGTAAATAGATACACACCCACAATTAGTTTGGTAATTACATGCAACCCATATTTTTTGTTTAGATGGGTTGTGAAATAGGTGTAGTTTCATGTATATAAAGGTATAAATGAAAGTTATCTATAAACTGGTATGTTAGATTCTGCTGTCATTTGAGTTGTAATTATTGCACCCTGCATTGTCAATAAACCTGTTCTGACTTATCACTAATTGTAGTATGACTTGTCAATTAATCCGCTAGTGCAAGTTATCTAAAATGTGAATTGAAGTTGCATAATATTGACATATCATATGATGTTTTCAATTATTTTGACATATTACATTTTGGTTATAATATCGTATATAATCATTATTAAACATATATTATTACTTATATAAAATTATAAATTGAATTATCAAAAACTACACCATCACTTGTTAATGGTGATACTATCATTGGCTACACTATCACTTGTCAATATAACCGTAGATATAAGTTATCTAACATATGATTTCAAGTTATATAGGGTCATTTAATGTTGATATATCCTCTAGACTAATGTGACATTTGTTAACTTAAAAAAAATCCATAAATCACAAATACCATTTGGCTTGTCAACGGTGACACTCTAACTTATCAATGATTGTATTGTGACTTGTTGATGGTGGCACTGTGACTTGTCAACCATGGAATCAAGGGCATAGAATTTCATTTAGACGCCATGGTGCCTATTACAGAATGCATCTCCATCCTTTTTGCTTTAGAGGCCGTGGCAGATTGCTCTAGACACTGCAACAGATTGAGCATTATCAGACCTGTCAACAAATGAACCGTGACTTGTCAACGGTGGCACTGTGACTTGTTAAGTTTTAAAAAATTGTCATCTAATTAACATATCTTTTGGTGAATATTTATATTTTAAGTTATATATAACTTAATTGGACATTTTAAATAAATGACACCTTCAATTCTGAAAATTTTCAATATCAAATGTTAATATCCACACATTGACTTAATAATAAGGCCACTATAACTTGTTAAATTTCTACTGTTTAATGTCATTTTTAGAATTACTTTGTTAAACTTAATTGGAAATTTCAAATAAATAACACTTTCACATAAAGTAATAGGCTGCATGGAATTAGATTATCCATGAATTTAATACAAAGCAATAATACTACTTGTGCACTAGTCCATGGATATTAACTACATAATTTACTTGTCAATGCAACCACATAAAATTGTCAAAAGTGGCACCATAAATTGTAAGCACAGTCTGATCAACTATTTTTCATCACAGCATTTAATGACTTCAATACAACATGCCATTTTACAAGCACAACCGATATGAACAATAAAGATCTCTATTTCTTTTTCTAATGTGACTTTTTTCCAAAAGCATAGACAAGACTTTTTCCATATGCAAGTTGTTTCAGTGACTAACAAACCACCACAAGCAACCAACTTTCAAATCACAGAGGTCTTCATGGGAGTACTTCAGCATTGTGTACCCATAATCATCATAAACTGTCCCATCCCACATTTGTAACCATGTGAGTACATCCACACTTCATGAATCCTTGTAGGCAACATTCATACTTTTGAATCTTTGACCATAATTGAAAAGAAATAAATAAAAAAGTCAACCAATCCAACTCACGTATCAATTTGCACATGGACTTTGGCCTAGTTAACTTGATTATCTATTTGCTCCTCATACTCAAATAGTTGTGGCTTCACCCTAAAAGGTATTTGATAGAAGCAATTTCTCTGCATAAAGAAAAAGAATTTAATGCAATTACAACTTTGTAACACATAATGACAAGTGATAATACAATGAATGACAACTATTAATGTCGTGAATGATAACGATTAATGTAGTCATTAACAACTAATTCATATGCATCCTCTTGCAAGTTTTTCTTTTGCATCTATTTCTCTGTGTTTTTTCCTCCTCTTTTTCACTTCAATCAGTTACTTCCCATCTT